GACGCCCATCCACATCTTCGTCATCGTCTGGACCTTGGTGGACATAGACAAGAAGAACCCCTACGTAGTGGCCAGCTTGCACTTCTGCATCGCTTTGGGCTACACCAACAGCAGCCTCAACCCCGTCCTGTATGCGTTCCTGGATGAGAATTTCAAGAGGTGCTTCCGAGAGTTTTGCCTGCCTTTCCGGGCCCGTATGGATCCGAATGGCTTCTCCCGAGGCAGGAGCACCACACGGGAGGGCATCTCCACCTGCACCCCCTCCGAAGCCCTCCACAAGCCGGCATGACTAGCCGTGGAAAGCCACGAGCGGCGCGGGGACGACCTGCCCTCCGAGGCGACTCAGGTCACCACCACGGAGCTCTAGCAGGACCGACGCAGTGGCACGAGGACTGCTCCAGAACACCACTGTTTTCCCCCAAAAAAGAAGAGGAAAAAAAAAAAGAGTGACTGCAAAAACCTGCAAAGAGGGTAAAGAAATAGGATCTTTTTTCCTTAGGAAAAGCAAGATATTGCAGGAAACGCATCACTTTGCAACCCTGCAGCCATGGCAGCATCTGCAGGAGCTGCTGGCTGGGTGGCTTGGGCTCCAGGAGAGCAGATGGCTCCTGCTGGCCCCTGCTCGCTGCCCTAATCACTTTTATTGGGCTAATTGCTGCTGCCGGAGGAAGCAGGCGCGAGGCCGGAGCACCTGGGGCCTGGTGGCTGCTGCGAGCGCCGGCGTCGCTGCCTTCCCCCCGGCCGCTTCTGTTGCGCATAAGGGAGGACGTTAGCTCTCCAGCGTCAGGACCACGCTGCCGAGGTGGCCTGAAGCCATTGCTCTCCATCTGGGACAAAATGGGATGAAATTGCCCGTTTGGAGCTAAAACAAGCATGATCTCCCGCAAGGAAGGGCCTCTCGCTCAGCATTGCCTCCTTCCAAGCATCTCCGGCTGCACAAGATGCTGCAAGGAAGGACTAGCCCAGAAAAAAGCAGAGTGGAAATTTAACCTTGCTTCCACCCCAGGAGCTAAGAACTGACAAATTGAGACACCTATGGGGAAAGGCAGAGGGTTGTTAATTTTTTAAAAGCTTGTGGTGTCTTGCGCTTTTATCCTGCCTTGGTCCCCGCTGCTGCAGCCCAGCAGCTGTCCCGGCTGCCTGCACTTCGAGTCAGGTTTAGCTGAATAAAATAAATTAATTTTCCTGGCATAGGACAGATACCACATTTTTAATAGGCTTCAATCCAGCCCCCCCCCCCCCCAAAAAACCAGCTTCGCCCCCTGCCACTAGGGAAATGGAGTGAATCCCAGCAAAGCTGGGAACCCATGGCTACCTTGCTGCATGTCTCTGTATACCTATGTATATATATATATTTATATATAAAATGTATAACTCAGTCTACAAATCTCTGGAATTAAAGTGACTCCTGGTGTCCCAACGCCCCTGCTGTCACGTGCACCGGAGTCGCATCCGGCTGCTGGACCTGACCCTTCTCCCGGGGTTGAGCTCATATGTCCAGCCGTCAGTTCTGGGGTTTTGATGACATTTCTGTACAAGAAAAGCTGCTTTCTAGAATAAATAAATACATTAAAGCGCAGCAGAGGGTTTCCGGCTCTCCTTTGCCATCTGGGTGTGCAGCGAGTGCGGCTCCGGGCACGGCTCGGAGGAGGCTCTGGCTCTGCAAGTCCCAGAGCATGAACGTTTCAGGCAGGTTCGAGTGTGTCCCGTTGTCAGCCCCGCCAGGACAAACCAGGGCTCCCCACTCTGCGAGGGCAGCGCCAGCCCCATCTGCAAAAGCCCAAGGGAAAAGCCAGGGAGAGAGAGCAGCCTGAACCCTGCTCCAGACCACGCTCCATCCCTGCGGGCACAGGAGCAGCTCTGGCTAAAGCCGAGACAGACAAACTGTCTCCTTCCAGCAGCATTACATCAACTTCCAAAACACCCTTATTGGAAAAGTGCACCCCAAGCTTTCCGTATTTTTTATCTCTTTGCATTCACCCCTTTAGCTCCAGTAGCTCTGCAAGTCCTAGCAGCCAAAAGCCTTTGCCTGAGATCTGCATCACTGCTGCAGGTTACCCAGACTGAGATTTGTTTTAATAGCTGGGTCCTTGGGCCTTACTTTAAATGCAAATAAGGATTGGGTGTGAATGCAAGACAGGGGGGTGCTGCAGGCTGTCACCCCACTCCTGCATGAGATGACATGGGATATTGGAGCATTTATCACCTCTGCCAGAGCAATTCATGAAGGTCCCAAGGAAGCAGGAGAATCCAGGCTAGGAGATATGTCCATGCACTGTCCCTGCAGCCGATCACCACGTCTGCTTCTGCAGGGAACATTCCTTCCTGATTAATCAACCGCCTAACGAAGTCTAATGCAACAGGCTTGATTCTTGCACATGTGATTAATTAAACCTCCGCCCGCCCCTTTGTCTGCACCGGCGTCATTAGTGCGCGCGGCACCCGTGGAGCTGCTGCTCGCCTTGCAAATCATCCGCTAGAACAGCAGCAGGCAAATCCAATGGGAATAACTCAGAATTCCCAGACATTTCTTATCACTGCCCTCTAGCTGGGTGGGAGCAGAGAGGTCCCAGAGACCTGAACCAGACACCACCATTGGGCTCCTCTGCCAGCAGCTCTCTGTGTATATGTATGTATACATATTTGCACACACACACACAAACATATATACACACACATATATATATGAATATATACTAGCAATTCTCTACCAGCCCCGGCGGCTCTCGGTGCGCACGGGTGGCTCGTCAGCATCGCCCCATCGCCGCCGGAGCCCCCCGTCGCCCCTTATTAAATCTCCCTGCACTTATCAGCTATAAATAGAGCAGCAATGTTGGGAGCGAGACGTGCGTCACTGCGAGGAGCACCCGAAATAGGGACTTTTCGCAGCGGGCGACGCAGCCGCCGCTGTCACCGCGGGAAAGGGCTCGTGCCGGCGCCTCCACTCCTGTTCTTCACCCTGGAAAGGATGCAAAAATAACCCCTCTGGGTTTGGAAATGAGGCATTAGCACTGCCAGGAGCTCCTTCCTGGGAATCGAACCAAGGCAAGGCGGTTTTCCCAGCGGGGCCACAGTTCCCAGGATGGAGGTGCATGGGGATGAGGTCCCCTCATGGCAGCGGTGCTGGGGAAAGTGAATTGCAGGGAAGGGCCTGCAGCCCGTCGGGAAAACATGCGAAACTGCCTCCAGCCCCCCCAGCGCTGGGATCAACTTCATAGAATCATAGAATCATAGAATGCTTAGGGTTGGAAGGGACCTCTAGAGATCATCTAGTCCAACCCCCCTGCATACGCAGGGTCACCTAGAGCACGTGGCACAGGACTGCGTCCAAGCGGGCAATTAGCAAGCAAACGAAGGGGCCGCAAGGCCCGGCCTTTCCTTGTCACCATGGTGCAGTGGGGCAGAGCTGGAGTATTTTGCAGAAAGAGAGAAAATAAAGGTTGATTTGTTTGTGCTATCCCCACCTAAAGCACCAGCCGGCCCCTCCGCTGCATCCGAGCCCTGCTCCGGGCCAGGGACAATCGTCACCGCGGTGCCACCGTCCCCTGCGCTCCCGGCGCCTGCTCCTGCTGCCATCCCGCGGCCGCGTGTCCCCATCGCACACGTGCACACGCGTGCGGCGCCGGCATCCCGCAAACCAGCACCCACCTTCTGCCGCAGCCTCCCGCCGGGAATTCCGGCTGCTCCGGGGAGGGCTGTGATCCCAGCGGATGTTCCCAGCAAAGCCCCCAGCCCCTCGTTTCATGGCAGGTCCCAGGGACAGGGCTGGCACTGGCAGCAACCAGCCCCGCTGTCCTTGCAGCACCAGCGTGGAAAAAAAGAAACAAACAGGATTTATCAAAACTCATTTTATTCCAAAGATTAAAAGATTACAGTTTTTTGCCTCTCTTTCTTGTTTAATCAACCAAAATACTTTACATTTTCTTTTTAAAAAGTTGAACCTACTCTGAGCATTGTACAACCTCCCACCCCCGCACACACACACCACTTTTCCCCTATTGCTATAACTTAACTTAAAAAACTATCTTTGCAGCAGCCCCTCCTCAGGCTGGGGACCTGGAAGGCAGCAAGGAGGGAAGAGACGGGGCCGGCGCAGGGAGCGAGGGTGGTCAGGCCACGAGCTGCACGTGCTGGGGACGAGGGACAGGCAGGGCACTTCGTGCCATCAAATGCATAGTTGGATTCTGCCCTCTGTCTTCTCAGGGAGGCCCCAATGGCAAATTAACCTTCTTCCTCAGCAAAGTAAGAGGAAAGGAAGGACAGTAGAAATGACAACCCCCCCAAGAAGACAGGTTTTGTTGGATTTCCAAAGGTGGTTAGATCGTAAAAAGCAGGGAGGGAGGAGGCTGCTCCAGGCAGATGGCAAGTCGAGGTATTTGATGGAGCGATCTGCTCCCGGCCTCCCTTCTTGTGGGGTTTCGGCTCAGACCCCCAAGCAGCCAAGCGAGAGAGGCAGCAGCCACCACCTCCAGCAGCAACCGAGTCTCCGAAGCCGAGGACACATCCGTGCGGGACACGGGCCAGGCTCCTGGGATGTTCCCAGCCCTGGGAGCCCCAGGCTGGGAGGGAGTCAGCGCCCTCCAACACAGCAATGAGATTCCCGCAAGGGAGTCTTCACGTGTGGGAGAAACGAGGATGAGGGATCCCCCCATGCGCCCTCTGCACAGGAATGTTTCTGCTGCACTGGGATTTCACCCCAAACAAGCTGAGAAGGGCACCAGGGACCTTAGAAGCCTAAGAAGCCCAAACCCTTCTGCGTAGGGAGGGACAAGGCCCTCAGCTTCACTGGGCCAGGATTTTTTTTTTTTTTAAATACAACAAAAACCAGGTTGCAAACCAACTTAACCACAGTATTGGACCGAGCTGCACTGGGGGAGCTGAGACAGCACCTCGTACCAAGGGAAGACAGACCCAGCTCCCAGAGCATCCCTGAGGAGCCCTGCTCCAGCCACGCAGACACTGCCCGGGCAGCCTGGAGCATCACGGCTGCAGGGCCCAGCTCTGCAGCCCCCCGTCCTCCCTGGCACAAGGACACGGGGCAGCAGACCCGGGATCCGGTCGCCCTCGCGCCCCGGGGCCGGGGGTGGCCGTGTTGTGTGTGTGCGCGACCAGCAGGACGGTGTGTTGGCCGCCGCTGGACACGGCCAGGACCACGCGGTTCTCCAGCTGCTTGCCCGTCATCTGCACGGGGCTCCAGACGTCGTCCTCCTCCCCCGTGCCCAGCTGGTAGTTGGTGCCCATGCCCCAGGCGAACGCTCGGCCTGCAACGGAGACAACGCAAACGGGGCTCGTTGGGGAGCGGATGCAGCAGCCAAAGGAGAGGGAAGCGGCTCAAATCTGGCCCGGGGGCAGGGCCCGATTAAGCTGCTTGGGAATGGGACACGAAGCGGCGTTCCAGAGCCCACGGAGGGCTTGGCACTCACCGTCGCTGCTGACGGCGTAGCCGACCGACGCGCCGCACGCGACGGAGGAGACGCTGGGAAGCTCCGGGATGACCGTGGGGGTGCTCTGCTCCTCCGCCCCTTCGCCAAGGCCCAGCCGGCCGTACTCAGCCCTGCCCAGGCTGTAGGCTTTACCTGGGACACAGGGGACACAACGGGAATGATTCCAGCAGGTGGGAGAAGCCTGCGGCAGGACCCTCCCTTCCCCAGGGAGGAGCATTGCTCCTTCCCTACCACATCCCCACTCACCCTCCGAGTCCATGCACACCGTGTGGTGCTGCCCACCGGAGAAGCCAACCCAGGACTTGGTGGAGTTCTTGAACGACGTCAGGTTCTGTGGAGAAAAGCAGGGCTCGGTGCCCTGGGTCCCTGCGGGACGGGGAGGCACCAAACCCAAGCAAATCAGGAACGCAAGCACAGACGGCCCATGCCAGCCACGGGCAACCGAGACACCCATCCAGGAGCTCATCCCCATCAGATGCTCCACCAGATCCCCAGCTCTGGAATCCCCAAAATTGAAGGTCAAACTTTTGATCAAGTTCACTGGCTGCAGGGACTTAAATCCAGAGCTTTGCAAGGTGACTTCCCACCCCAATTCCCAGCTCCGGGATGACCTGCGGGAAACACCTGGAGGAGGGTGCACGAGGGGTATAAGGTGCTCTTGATCAGGGGAACCCTGCAGGGCCCCCATTTTGAATGAACACAGCCAGGGAACGGGGAGTCTGTGACCCCACCAAACAGGCAGGTGAGCAAGGGCACAGACGTGATGCTTACCCAGCTGGTGATAGTTGGAGAGGCCAAAACCATAGACGTGTCCCTCCTGCGTGACGGCGAAGGTGAAGTAAGCGCCGCAAAAGGCATCCTGGAAGCGCATCTTGCCTCGGTTGCCTCTGCCCTTGACAGGGACACGCTGGGGGACCAGGAGGCGCTCTGGGGGCAGCAAACAAGGGATCAGACATGAACTAATGATTTACGGCCTCTTCAACCCCACTCAGATCCAGATCACTGCATTCAAGTATTTCATTTACAAGCAGCCCTTTGCTACCAGGGGAAGAGACTGGGTGCAGAAGAACACTCAAGCTCCTCGGCCAGGCTAAGTGTTGGTGCTCAAGGACAGCTCACCACAGCACCAAATATCCCTTAGCAAAGCGACTCACGCAGGCCCTTCCTTCCTCCTCGGTTGGCAAAGATCTCCGGCACTCTCCCCAGCTGGCCCTGCTCGCCACAGCCACACGTGAACAGGTCACCGTCCACTGTCAGCATCACTAGGTGGTCATTCCCTGCGAGGAAGAGTGGGAAAGGTGAAGCAACAGTCACAGGCTCCGATCCCGCGAGAAGCCCGCAAGAGCCAGGGTCGGAAATCTCGCATTTTATCCCCAGGCATCCAAGCTCTTCAGGTCTCAGCTGGGTTTATTGCATCAGATACCTGGATGCCAGTGTCTGCCATGGCTGAAAACACCAAGATCTCTCTCCAGCTCATTTCAGTCCCTGGTCTGAAACTCCAAAGAAGTTTGGCTGGGCACATTTAGAGGCCTAGGTCACTCTTGCCCTCACCTGGGCCTCTCCTCAGCTTCTCCATGTCTACAGGCCAGGGCTTTGACCCCATGTATCAAAGAGTTTCAAGTCAGATTGGATTGAACCCAAGAGGGATGTGGATCTACTGGAGAGGCTGAGGGAGCTGGGCCTGTTCAGCCTGAGGAAGAGAAGGCTGAGAGGGGATCTAATCAGTGTCTATAAGTACCTCAAGGGAGGCAGTGAGGAGGATGGTGCTGGCCTCTTTTCAGTGGTGGCCACCGACAGAACTAGAGGAAACAGCCAGAAACTGAAGCATCAAAAGTTCCACAGGAACTTAAGGAAAAATTTCTTAACAGTGAGGGTGACAGAGCCCTGGAACAGGCTGCCCAGAGAGGTTGTGGAGTCTCCTTCTCTGGAGATCTTCCAAACCCGCTTGGACGCAGTCCTGTGCCACGTGCTCTAGGTGACCCTGCGTGTGCAGAGGGTTGGACTAGATGATCTCTAGAGGTCCCTTCCAACCTTAACAATTCTATGAACATTAATGATACAGCTGGCGCTGGAAGAGACTCAGGGCCTGCTTGCTCCAGAACCAGGAGGGAACAAGCACACCCTGCACCCAGCTGACAGCAGCAAAGAGGGGCACAAGGACACTGCTCATTCTGAACCTGCACCCTGAAACAGCCTCCTTAAGCAGCCTGACCCACACGCACGCACCGCGCTCTCACTCACCTGAGACAATTTTAACCACCGGCACGTCGAGCTGAAGTAACACAGGGACCGAGCTCTTCTTCATGGGCTCCAGCAGCCCAATCACCCCGTTGTTGTCCTGCACGAAGAGACAGACACGGGCAGGTGAGTCACTGACATCAGGCCAGCGATCACTGGCAGAGCCTCTGGAGTCCAAAGAATCATCGTACCCGGAAAGAGCCCCAGACAAAAACCCTGCCGTCATCCGTCAGCGCAGCTGTGTGACTGTCCCCCGCTGACACCTGCACCACCTTTTCCTGCAGCTGCACCTCCCCTGGCTTCATCTCCGAGCCCTCTGCGGAGGTGTCACGGCCGAGGGCGCCTTCGTCATTGCAGCCAAAGGTGTAGATCTGCAGATGAGAGCAGCCTGGTGAGCAAGAGACCCCAAGGACAAGACGAGCACAAAACCAGCAGACGGAGACCCACCACGCTGAATTCTCCTCCTATCCCCAAACTATGTGGCCCAGCACACGGAGACCAGGCTCAGGCCAGGAGCTGGAGTGTCCCTGTGCGTGTCCCTGTCCCCAGAGCTCCGTGCTGCTCTCACCTTGCCCGTCTTGCTGAGACACACCGTGTGCATCCCTCCTGCTTCTGCCTGCACGATCATCTCCGGGAGCTGCACCAGGGCCGGCTTCTTCCTCTCCATCACATCCTCCCCCAGGCCCAGCTGCCCGACGTCCCCCTGTCCCAGCGTGAGCACCAGCCCGGGCTCTGTCCGGTGCGAAGCATGGCAAACTGCAGCAGGGGAAAGGGAGGAAACACCTTCAATACTGGACACGGAGATTAAATAATCTGAAAAAAAGTATTTCAGCAAACAGTATAAAACCAGGACAAACTCAGTTCCCAGGTGGTTTTCTTACTTTTGCGCTTCTTCCTCTCTGGAGACCCTTCTTCTGATGTAGGGCTTTTCCTCGCAGTGCGTTTTCCTGGCATGTTGCTTTAGCTCTAAACAAAGACACTCTGTTAAGGCACCAGCCAGCCGCCAGTCTGGGGCAGAGTTGCAGCTGTCCATTAATATTTTCCACCTAAAGAGACACTCGGATTGCTCCCCTTTGCTTTCGGATCCTGGATCTTCCAAGCGGGCAATGAAAGCAAAGGGGGATTTCTCACCAAGCTCAATCCCCTCCATATCCCACGTGCTGCCCCTGCTCTCAGCCCGCCAGGAACCTTCCTCGCCTTCCCAGTGGGGAATGACAGACAGGCCCCGCGGGAAGCAGAGCAGAACATGGGAATGCCCTGAGCCCTCTGCCTCCCTACGGAACACTCGGCTCTTTGCACACAAGGGCTCAAACCCCAGGTGCTCCCCGCAAAGGAGAACGGGGAGTTGGAGCCTCCTCCCACCCGCAGGCCGAAGTTCCCGGCGCTTTTGCAGGAAGCGCTCAGTGCCCTGCAGGAAGCGCTGGCCCGCGGGAAGCAGAGCAGAACATGGGAATGCCCTGAGCCCTCTGCCTCCCTACGGAACACTCGGCTCTTTGCACACAAGGGCTCAAACCCCAGGTGCTCCCCGCAAAGGAGAACGGGGAGTTGGAGCCTCCTCCCACCCGCAGGCCGAAGTTCCCGGCGCTTTTGCAGGAAGCGCTCAGTGCCCTGCAGGAAGCGCTGGATTTTCCCGC